CAGTAAGAAAATAAGGGGAAAAAAAGTTTTATATTTACTGAATTATTAGCTTACCTATTTATCACAATCTATGTTAGGCTCCCTGATGCTCGGTGCTGCTGCAACTGCTTTTTACATCAACGATGCTGCCACCTTTTTGCCAAAAACTGTTGTTGCAAAGACCAGGGCCTTCCTCGCTGGAGGCACTGCAGAAGCCTTGGAGGTAAAACCATTTAACACTATGACTTAACAAATGCAAGAAAGGTATGTTCTTTTTACACTGTCTTTTTGTATTTTCTTTAGATCGGAGCAAATATTGAAGGACTGCAGGAGCTGATTATGAAAAATCCTTCTCTTTCTGAAAGTACTGACAGGATCACCAAAATGAAGCGTGTCCTTAAGGCTGTAAGCAACAATCAAAATCAAAAATTAAAGGACAAAAACACAATGAGCAGTCCTGCATGATAAAAAAAAAACATATTTTTTCTCTCCACAGCTGTCAGAATGGAGATCTTTGCCTACCAGTAAACCCCTTGCTTCTATGTATGTTAAGTTCTTTGGACAAGAGATTGCCTTCGCCAACATTGACAAACCTATGATTGACCAGGCTGTTGAGGTATTAAAATAGAAACATCACGCAAGCTAAAGCCAAATACATGTTTAGAACCAGTGGTATAAATGATGTACTCTTCCCTTTTAGTATGCAAAGAATTTACCAATTCAGGAATATGGAAGAGAAGCTCTTAAGGCTCTCCTCCTCTCTGGCATCAACTTCCACTATTCTAAGCCTGTGCTGGCTGCTGAGGTGCGACGCATTCTTCCTACTGCTGCTGGTCTTCCAATGGAACTCAGTCTGTACAGCGCTGCTGTTGCTGCAGCCTCTCTTGAAAGTGAGTAAAACACACATTTAGATTGAAAAACTACTCAAGCAATAAAATGTACTTATTTTTGAGAACTAAAATTGTAGGGATAATAAATAGTTCAAGGTATTCAAATCTGTTAAGTGTCAATTAAGTGGGACTTCCTTATTCAAAGCAAAAAAGTCACATGGCCAACTTTATGTGACAAAAAAACTTACAAGCTTTTCCTGTTTGTTCAGTCAAGCCCAGCACATCACCACGTCTGCCTGAAGATTTCCCCCTCAAGAGTCTCCTGGAGACAGACATCCAGCTCCAGGCTGAGATCAGACCAAGGTAGGTGTCTAGCTTTAAACACCTTTGATTTCACATAAATTTTGCATATAATGCTTGATGCAATAAAACTGAAACTAAAACCATTATTTTTCTTTTATCCAGTGTTGCCATGAACACATATGCAGTTATGGGCCTTAATACCGAGATTCTGCAGGCTGCTCTGGTAGCAAGCGCTAAAGTCCACTCTGTTATGCCAGCGAAAATTGCAGCAAAACTCAACATCAAAGAGGGTGACTTCAAGCTTGAAGCTCTTCCTGTTGATGTCCCTGAAAACATCACAGCTCTAAAGTAACCACTTGGAAGATTTTGACATAACTTCTATGCTTTTATGTAGAGCTTAGCTAATTAGTTCATCTTCTGTTCAACAGTATTACAACCTTTGCTGTGGCACGAAACATTGAGGAACCTGCTGTTGAAAGAATCACTCCTCTCCTCCCCACCAAAATCTTGCAATCCATCTCAAACAAGATTATCTCATCCAGGGCTGCTTCCTCTGCTAATAGCATGGTAAGTTTTTTTATATAGGTTTTATTTACACCTTTATATTTACAGTCATATTCTGATCAAATTTTCATTTGCTTGTCCTCCAGTCAGCATCATCAGAGCTCCTTCCTGTGGAAGAATCAGTACCAAGGGTTCCTGAACACAAAATTCGTCCATTTGCCAAGAGGTACTGTGCTAAGCACATTGGCGTTGGACTGAAGGCTTGTTTCAAGTTTGCCAGTGAAAGTGCTGCATCTATCCAAAACATTGTCCTCTACAAACTGGCTGGCAGCCACAATTTCTCTTTCTCTGTGACACCAAGTAAGGGTTGTTAGAATAATATTTGAGTTCTCTGTATAAACTTGTTGCAGAACCAAGGTATTAATAACATTTCTTTTCCCCTTAAAGTTGAAGGCGAAGTTGTTGAGAGATTGGAAATGGAGGTTAAGGTAGGAGCAAAGGCTGCAGAGAAGCTTGTTAAACGCATTAACCTGAATGAAGAGGAAACCGTTGAGGAAGGAGGATCAGTCCTGGTGAAACTCAACAAGATCCTGTCTTCAAGACGGAACCGCTCCTCATCTTCCTCCTCTAGCTCCAGCAGCTCTTCTTCCAGACTTTCCTCAAGATCCTCATCTTCCTCCTCCAGCTCTTCATCTCGCTCTGCCCGTAAGATCAATCTTGCAGCCGGTAAATACAACAGCAGCAGGACCAATAGCAGCAGCAGTAGCAGCAGCAGTAGTTCCAAACGCAGCAGCAGCAGCAGCAGCAGTAGCAGCAGCAGCAGCAGCAGCAGCAGGAGTGTCCGCAGCAGCAGTAGCAGCAGCAGCAGCAGTAGCAGGAGTGTCCGCAGCAGCAAGAGCAGCAGCAGCAGTAGCAGCAGCAGGAGCAGCAGAAGAGTTGGTTCCTCAAGATCAAGCAGCAGCTCAGCAAGGACCAGCTCTGCATCAAGCCTTGCATCCCTCTTCAGTGGCAGCTCAAGCTCAAGCTCATCCAGCTCCAGTTCTCGTCGCTCAAAGGTAAATATTTTCATCTCAGTTTTGCAGGAAGGTGCTTTCTCATGACACCATAGCACATGGAAAAACTCATAGCAATATTTGTCCTTTAAAGCAAGTAATTCAGGAGTTCCAGAGGCTACACAAGAAACAGCTCGGCTCCAGACCAAGTTCCAGAAGCAGAAGCAGTGCTTCCAGCC